CGTGCTGCTTACAGCTAGCTAACTGGTACGACTGGTGAGCATTGATCGATTGAGCCGACCAGTCTCGAGGGGCGGGGCGACATTGCGCAATGGCTTGGGTCCTGAGGCGATGCCCGTAAAAGGCTTTAGTCGCTTCAGGTTACAGCCTATGCACTAGGGCATGAGCCTGAGCAGGAAGGGGTAATGAACGGACGAAGAAAGGGTTTGATGGAAACAACCCAAGGAAGCTTGGAACTGAGCCACTATGGACCAATAGGGGTAGAAGCCTAGAGTGTGGAGGGATTAGAGAAATACCGTATACTGTTGACTACGCTATGGCTGGGTGCCAAATATGACGAAATGGAAAGTGCTAAGAGCAGGACAGGATGGAACTAAAGGAAATTAATGGAAGAGGACTAAAATTACACTAAGTAGAGGAAACTTACCGTAGAGAACGTAAGGAGCCATCTTTAGATGGATTAAGACGTGTGATGACTGCCAGTGGCCAGTTGGCTCTGGGCAGGTCATCTGTTTTGATGAAGACGACGTCTCCTACTGCTGGGTTCAGATAGGAACCGGAAGAACCTTGAGTCGCTGTTAAACTACGCTGCGCTAAATCTTGTAAATAATCGTTTTGCCAAAGCGTCCAAAAATGGTCTAAGGCAGCGGTTAAAGCTTGATGATGCTCTTTGAGAGCTTCTTTCGTCTGCGAATCGCTAAGATCGTAGACGAAGAATGGCGAATTTTGAGGACTACTAGATGCGGTAAAATGACCTACCTGATAGTGAGGACTAATCAGATCGATAGGGCGTAGAACGCTGAACTGTGACGGTGAAACTGAGTTCAACGACGTTAACGGACGAGTATTAAGAGTAGCCTCAATCTCTACGATCAAGGTCTCAAAAACTCGAATGTGAAGCGTGTCTCTACGAACTGTTTTGAATAGTGCCTTTTTCACCACACCGACTAGTCTCTCATAGAAACCTCCCTTCCACGGTGAAAGTGGAGTAATGAAGTTCCAACGGAGACTGTTCTGCGTGGCAAAATTCGACACTGTGGTGTCATTAGCGACCTTAACAAGATCGTTAATGATCACTTCTCTACCAAGCTTGAACGTCGATGCGTTATCGCTGAGAAGGAGATCTGGTACTCCTCTTCTTGCGATAAAGCGTCGAAGAGCAAGCAGTAGTTCGTAAGCGGTATTGTCAAGAACTAACTTCTAGATGTAAAGCGCGAGTAGTCATACAAGTAAATAAACAAACCCAGACTTTTCTGGTGTGACTTGTATCTGCGATGACTTGAATTGGACCGAAATAGTCAAGTCCTGTATTCTGAAATGGCCTGGAACGTGTTATTCTTTCAACAGGCAAATCTGGCGGAGGAGGATAACGATAAGGATGGGCTTGATGCCTCTTACAAATTACACAACGTGAAAGGACTGATTTTATTGTCCTACGCATACGTTTCATAAAGAACTTAGAACGTATTGCTGCGGTGAGATGACTTACACCTGCATGATGTAACCTAAGGTGCCAAAAGGTGATAATCTTTTCTGTGAGCGGATGATTAAGATCTAAGAGAATAGGATGTTGTGCGATGACAGATGGGTTTTCCTTACGCATTCTCGTACGAAGACGAAGAATGCCTAAAGAATCACTATAGGTATTCCTGGGAGAGTTCAATATGTGAGCAGATTCCCGTTGATGTTGACGTACGAGAATCAGCTCTGCAATATGGAAATCTCCAGGAGAAAGGGTTAACTGCGAAAGATGGTAACTTCTCATCGAGAAGTTGGCGTGTCTCCGAGGAGACTTTTAGATAGAGGCGTTTATAGAGAAAGCGAAGAACGTACATTGTGACACGTACTAACGTGTCATAACGACTTACACGATGAAACGGTAAAACAGATGTATGCGAAGGCATTGATGTCATAGTCGTAACCTTGTATTCGAGCTCTGTTTCCAGAGTTGAAGAAGGTTGCGCTTTGAAATCAATGTCTGCATAAGGCCATTGAGAAATGGAGAACAAATGAATGATGGACCTTTCCACCATATGTGTTCGGAAATCTCGTCAGCCGAGAGGCCCCTTGTGGCACAATCGGCTGGGTTGATATACGTACCTACATAGTGGAAAGTACATTGGATATTTGCTCTCCACTCTCTCAATGGCCTTACGCAGACATTGATCTCAAAGCGCAACCTTCTTCAACTCTGGAAACAGAGCTTGAACACAAGGTTACGACTATGACATCAATGCCTTCGCATACATCTGTT